CAAACTGTTTACTATACATTGCTCATTGTTGATAACAGCCTCACATTGGCCAGTGTCAACAAGCTCCTATTTGAATATATTATGACTTGGATTCAGGTCTAGATCTGAGTCAGGTTCTCAGCGATTGAATGCTGGGTATGGGTTTTGGTTTTGGACTACATCTGTTTATTCATGCTCTGGGTTGGGTACTGATCTGGATTTCAGCCCATTTGTCTGATGATTAGTTAGAAGTTCTTAACCTTGTATGAAATATTAAAGCAAAGCAGCATCTGATTTAAAGTTCTTTGGTCAATGGATGCTCAATTAAATGTACCTGACCAGATCATTGCTTACATTTATAATTTACCTAATCCTTCCCCTGATCTATCATTTATTACCCCCGTAGACAGTAAAGATCAGGTATCCATGCAACGATCAGTGATACATCTTGACATGGTCCTCTACTTGCCCTTCACAACATTTAAAATATTTACTTGGTGTATTTGACTACAAATGGAAATGTCTGCATTAAAACCCAGAGCCTCTTCCCATTAAAACATTATGTCAAAAAGAAAAAAAATCCTGTGTAGCGAGAAAACATGTGATGCAGTTCAGCACTCTAGCTTAATATGCACTGTGGCAGCCAAATAATAATGTTTTGGTATTTTTCAGGAAACCTGGTTATTGGATTTCATGTAATACGCCCCGAGATTCATGTGACCTACATATGCTCACTACACCCGTATGATCGAACAACAGATACTTTGTACCCTAAAAGCATGGAATGAGAAATTCCTAATTTAAAATGGATCCATCAAGTTACCTGATGTTATTAATATGCCGTCCAGCATTTTTCCAAATAACCACAACTGTAACAGTCAAACCTCATTTGTGACTTATTTGATATACAGGCAGTAACAGGTTGTTGTTGTTGTTGCTACCTACCTGTCTCTTAGTGTGCTCACTGATCTCCCCAGGCATGTCATGAGCACTCTTGACCAGCGTCCTGGCGATGTGGTAGTAGTACACAGAGATGATCCCCAGGGGAATCAGGAAGTACACCAGGAATATGAGGATGGAGTGGATCTTGGGATGCATCTCGTTGGAGAGGGGATAGGGCACACAGGCAGTGAAGGTCACGTTCTTGTCCTGGATATGTACTACCTGGGAGAAGATGGCCTCGGGCACCGCCAGCAGGACGGAGATCACCCAGATGGACACAGCTTTCAGACACGTCCAGAACACAGCACTGGATGTCTGGATGTCCATAGGATTCACTATGGCTTTGTACCTGGAAAAACAACAACACCAGAACAAAAATTGAGTGCTGCTTCATCTTGGTGTCAAAGGCTAGAGCGAAACTCCAGGATCATGACAGACATGACACTCTGAGGCAGTGATAGACAGACATGATTGAACCTGTGATCATGAATTGTTTAAGGATGGTTCTCTGCAACTCACACACTGATAAAATACTCCTGAAACCTTTTTCAGACTCTTCAAACCTTTTTCAGACTCCAAACCTTTTTCAACCTCAGTGAAGCACTATTGTAGATAGAACAAAATTAACGTTAATGGAAAGCCTTTACTGACGTTTTCATATTAATCATGAAATTAGATTCAAAGCAGTCTTTTCCATGCAAATGGAAATAAATGACCAGCTGTCCTTACTGTTCTAATTTCTTTGTCTAAAATTAAATGTAAATTATGTGATTATATTTAATTAATCTAATTAACGTTCTTTCTCTTTTCAAAAATAAGAGGCTTTGACAAAGACAAGGCATTTCTGAGTCCATGGGCACAGAATAGAAGCTTTATGGAGTGTTAGAGGTGATCTTTCACGCACACATGAGAGATCTATGGAGTGCATGATGTTTGCACTAGCTAACTAATTAATGTCCTGACCGTAACATACCCAAATTAATTATATCCTTGGATTGAGATCATGGGTTACAATAATTGTCAGTACATGAAATTATAATGATTTAACTGAAACAACAATGTGTTTCTGCACTGCTGCCAAAGTGCATCTAAATATTGATATAAACCCAAATATTTACAAGCTGATCAATAAAACTAATTTATAGGTTAGACTTTGGCCTGATCTCCCATGTAATTCAACACTCAGTGCTATGTGCACAGAATAATCAATTTCTGCCAAGTTATACAATGGGGAAAAAATATAGGAAAGGCGGGTGCAACAGAGGATGTTCGCTCCATTGGGCATAAAGAGGTTTTTTGCTCCAAGGATAGAAGATTTTCCACATCCTGACCGTTTTCTAAAGGATATTTGTGCTGGTGAAATGTCTGGTCTGGAGGAGAATCTCCATTGGCAGTTGGAGGTTTGTACACTGCCCTTGACTGTGCTGTTCCAGCAGCCTCTGCCCCTGTAGAAATCCCCCATAGTCTAAGACCAAGCTGCCTCAGGCAGCAACAGACAAGCACAGAAAATGGACACTTTGATACCTCACCAGAGAGAAACAAGGATGTTTTTTTGTCTGTATTTACTTGAACAATCCACTGTAATCCCACTTCATTGCCCAGGGGAATGCTAATAAGATACAATTCTTTAAAGCCCTCACATCGGGTAAGCATACAAATGGCGTATTTTCATTGCTCTTCATCACACAATTACATGCTCAATTGGACTAGGGAAAACATAGAGAGAATAGCTGTTGACTGCAATCTCACCATATGGCTGACTTAATTGCCCCTAGTGACAGAGATGGCCAAAAGTCATGGTCATTTCCAGTGAAGAGTGACATAGCCAAACTTTTCCTCCAACTGATAGAGCTCTAGATTACGTTCTGTGTCATAGAAAGGGTCATTACAAAGCTTTGTACAATTTTTTGACTGCTATCATGGCATGCACAATGGGGTATTATATATATATCAGAGAATCCCATGAACTTTAATATGATCATAAAAAATATATACTTTCATATTGATGTCCAGGCCTGAGGCAGACCAAGAATTTTCATGACACTAGTGAACTTTTAGCTGAAGAAGAAGCTCCTAATACCAGAAGACAGGTTATTTGTGGGGGTATAGAATGGTCACTTGAGAAGGTCAATGTCTCCAAGCATCAGTGGTCTTGGTGAGGGTATGTGTTGGAGAGGAAAGGGTAGGCTAGGTCAAATTAAGGTCCCAAACAAAGATTCAGGCATGCTTGCCCTTTTAATCATATAAGACAGTAAATTATGCTTTGTGCAGATTATTCTGTATGACTCCTCCTGAATGCCTGATGATAACTGAATACAACTGAACTGGGCTTGCCACCCTCATTCTTTATGGAATACAACATGAAGAGCTTATTTTCAAAACGCTATATATACATTTTCTGAAATGTTGGTAAATTAGCTTTTATTGTTTAAAGAACTTCTGAAAGAGATTGGTGTGTTTTTCTCTATCTAATCATGGCATGGAGTTGTTTAATGACAGACAGGTATTTGTGAGACAAATAAACATGTTTTTTTGCAAAACGCAATATATCCGCCTCAATCTCAGAGAAATAAGTAGTACTGCTAGGTTTTACACTGTCAAATGTAACAAATAACTACTTTTTTTTTTATAAAGAACTGTACAAATGATACATTTGTGATATCAATATAAAAATATATTTAAAAAATAATCAATACAGTAATATGAGATCTGTATGTAAAACATTTACATTTGACATTTTAGTCATTTAGCAGACACAGAGCGACTTACAGTTAGTCTTAAGATAGCTAGTTGAGACAACCACATATCACAGTTACATATTCAGTAAATTATCCTTCCATTCCAGCTAAACAATGGATATATAGCGTTTTGCAAAAAAACAACTATTTTAATACACATCTAAAATCTATGAAGTCATATTTTACACACACGAAGGTACTCATAAGCAATCATTTCTGGTGAAAAAACACAAATGTGAAAAATGGGTGGATATAATGTTTTGGAAATAAACTTAAAATACTCTTATTCTTGTGAATTGACAAATGATTGACAAATGTACAGTGCCATTTTTTTCTAATCTCAGCATTCATGCTGCTCCTTCCAGAGAAGATAAATGGCCATTCTAACCGTGTCTCTCCTGAATAAAACAATATAACACAAATCAGGCTTATTGAAGTCAACACAACCAGCAGGTGTGCACTATTTGATCCGTTTTAAACATTTCTGAGGCCACACTTGGTTTGTCAATCAAAATATCAACAGATTTGTCAGTGACATTTGCCCAGCATTTAATTGTGATAAAACTTGTGTTGTCGATAAAAATAATCATAATCACAACAATTGAGGAATCATTATTAATTACATATGTTAATTATTCTTACTATCTTGTTAGCATGCAATAGCCATAACATTTGCAATTAGGTATACATAACAATAACATTGGCAACAAGAATACTTCCCATTCACCTACTCTTGATCTTACCTGTCAGCGCTGAGAGCCGTGAGAGTGAACACCGAGACTCCGACTGAAGTGAGTTGAATGACCGGTATTAGTTTACAAGCCACAACACCGAAGATCCACTCCTCAAAGAAGTATCTGAATGCGTCCACTGGAACACACGTGACCAAAAGCAAAAGATCCCCAGCTGCCAAACTCGAAATAAATATGTTGGGGACGCTCCTCATTGCACTGTTGGTGATAAAAATCTTAACCAAGGTAATGTTCCCCAACAACCCAATCGTTATGATCAGAATATACACAGTCGGTATGACACATCGTATAATAAAATCAATAGTTTCGCTTCCATCAGGTATCCAATCATCAGTAAAGTTATAAAAGACAGAATGTCCAGTAAAAGATAAGTTATCTAAAATGGCATCCATTGCTACTCAGGGATTTGTACAATAATCACTTTGCTAAAATGGCACGGAGGATGTTGACCATCTGCCAAAGCAGGTCTGAGGCGCGGGAGCTGTCCCTCCAACAAAGTGCTGAAATGACCGGGGTGCTAAAACGCGCGACTGATGCTACACGGACTGGCGCGCAAAAGAAGGAGGTACTTTTTCAACACGCATCCAGCAGCGATGACGGAAGATAACGCACACCAGTTTTGCATATGATGTGTAGCATTGTCAAGGCCACTCACATACTATTTCATAGTGGTAATTTGACTATAAACTGAATAAACGAATAGGCTAGACTGTATTTCATCAAACAAGAACCGAATACCCATTTACATTTACATTTTTAGTCATTTAGCAGACGCTCTTATCCAGAGCGACTTACAGGAGCAATTAGGGTTAAGTGCCTTGCTCAGGGGCACATCGACAGATTTTTCACCTAGTCGGCTCGGGGATTAGAACCAGCGACCTTTCGGTTACTGGCACAACGCTCTTACCCACTAAGCTACCTGCCGCCCCAGCTTTATACCCCTTTCACGTTCAGGATGAGAAAGCTGTGCTTGAAAAAATGTGTGAAATGGAATGAGCTGTTCTTTGAGTCTACTAAGGAAAATCCAATATAATTTTTCGAAACAGAAACCTCTCATTGTGCAAACTGAGCGGTGTACAGGTGTTTCATTGTCAGCCAGCCCTTATCTGTAGGAGCTGTATGATGTCGTTCTTTGAGTCACCAGCCACCAGGGGAAGTGAGTGGAGGGAGAAATCCAATAAATAGGTCATCAGGAAAGCAGTGTGGGTGGGAAAGTTGCAGAGAATTTGAGTCAAATTGAGTCTTTCCAAGTTATTACAATCGGAAAATCTCATTTGCAATTATGAAATTTTCACAGTGCTTTGCCATGACTGATTTATATGAATGAAGTAATTCAATGCTAACTCTATCCGTCACTGTCCATCTATGCAGAGCATTCTACAGTGCCAATGGAAATGGGAATTGCTGTGTTGCATTTTAAATTGTTTTTAATGACTTGGCAAGACTGGAAATCCCGTAGGCGTAATCCTATCACAGAAACACCTGCCTTAAATGCCAATGTGCCATTGAGAATGTCCATAATCAATGTGGTCTAGGCTACTGTTGTTCTCTTATCAGTTTGTGCTTACAATGGATTCAAATTCAAACCACTCATCTAGTTAATGCAGTTGTAGGCTATTCTAGTTATGTTTACTCAAAACTTCCGAGTGGCGCAGTGGTCTAAGGCACCGCAGTGCTAGCCGTGCCACTAGAGATCCTGGTTCGAATCCAGGCTCTGTCGTAGCCGGCCGCGACCGGGAGACCCATGGGGCGGCGCACAAGTCGTCCAGCGTAGGGGAGGGAATGGCCGGCAGGGACGTAGCTCAGTTAGTAGAGCATGGCATTTGCAACGCCAAGGTTGTGGATTCGATTCCCACGGGGGGGCAGTATGATAAATAAAAAAAGTATGTATGCACTCACTAACTGTAAGTCGCTCTGGATAAGAGCGTCTGCTAAATGACTAAAATGTAAAACGAGTCTATTATAAAATTGTCTATTTCTATCATCCACATATAATAAACGTCCATATGTCCCTCCGGTAGGCTGTGTGGCTTTACGCTGACGGATGAGGACAGCGACAGCTAAGCATTTGCGTCGTGTGGACCACGTGCCCTCTGACTGGATGTTTGCTGGACCAGTGTTAGCTTTATTTAGGTAATTAGTGCCTCTGTCCGTTATGCTCTCTATTGACGGCCACAAAGGCCAGATCTCACTGATGCTTTGCTTATTGGTTTGTTGTTTGATCTCTGACACAAGAACACGTTCAGTAAAAGAAACGCATCCATCATGGTACTCTTCCAGCAGGTCTCTCCCAGGGAGCGCAATAGTGGCATGAGTTTAGGACCCAAGCTCTGATTGAGAGGGGGAATGAACAGCACTCCGCCTGGATTATGGTTGGTGTGTGGACTTCATTTTATTACCTAATTTGTTTATTATATAGTGTTTTGTGTGCTGCTGTGTGTTTGCTCTCCCTCGCCGAAGCTGGGACAATTTGGTGAATGATCTTCCAGAAGTACTTCCAGTGCAGGGTGTGTACCGCGATGTCGCAACAGGGAGAAGTTGCGTAAAGTTATTTTCATCACTTTTTCGTGTGCCTCAAGTCAGATAAAATATGTCACTGTATTCTGAGCTAATATATTTCAAGATGATAAAAATGATAAAACATGAGCTTAAATATTTCGTTTTTAACTCTTATTTTGTCAGAAGTTTTTTACTAGGTCCTAAATCACTTCTCTACAATTGTCATTTCAAATGTCATCCATGAAATTAGGTGGAAATTGACATGCCAATTCTTTAGATGTAGTTCTAAAACTAACTTTCAAACACAACTTTAATCTCAAATTGTTCAGTTGGAAGCTCAAAATAACGTGTCCTCAAGTGCCACTATTGTATTGTAATATTTTGTTTTCTCTCCCCCATTGTGTTTTACAAAAGTAGTTTTTTCGCTGACTTAGTTCAATGGGGATTATGAGCCGACCACATGCCCCATGCCTTTGTTTTCCCTTTCTGTTGTGTTTTTTCTACTGAGTGAGTAAATTGATGAAGGCACCGCGGATAAAAGACAAATATGCATCGACAAGGGCTTTCAGCGGCAAAAGGTCATTAGGAGCTTCAGAATTATAGTGGGCTTTGCCTGATGCCAGCATATCGGCAATGAGGGCCACGGGTTACAAAATAATTGAACTGGGAGAATAGCAGCAAAGTCATGTCTTTAAACTACATTAAGAACTTTTACGAAGGATGTGTAAGTATGGTGATACCAAGAATATATAGAATATTGGACGATGGTCGTGGTCACTTTGAGCCCAGTGAGTTCTCTGAATTATTTATCTATCTGACTGTAGCATAATAGAGTGGATAGACTTTTGTATTTGTTTCAGAATTGAATAACAGTGTAAATATAGTAAATGTCCTACTCTCTGAATAGATTTGTGTTGTTGAAACATGACAGATAGATACCCTATTACTGCCATACTCCATGCATTACTGATTTATAAGGATGTTTGAAGTTGTCCCATTTAAATCTGATATTTGGTCCATCTGCTATTGTTGATGAAGATGGTGCATTCCAAATGTTAAATCTCTTCATTACTCAATTTCCAAGCTTTTTTCATAGTTTGTGTAATTAATGAAATGATAATGATACTCATGCTTCCTCAATCAGTTTTCACACATTCATTTATTTATTTATTTTACAAACAAATGCTGTTTTAAAGCCTTTTTCTGTGTTTGTGTGTTGTTTGTGTTTTAGCTCAGGCCTCCAACGGTGATAGGCCAGTTCCACACCCTGTTCTTTGGCTCTGTTCGGATGTTCTTTCTGGGCGTCCTGGGCTTTGCAGTGTATGGCAATGAAGCACTCCATTTCAGCTGCGATCCAGACAGGAGGGAGTTAAACCTCTACTGTTACAACCAATTTAGGCCGATAACACCTCAGGTAAGACAGCTTCCTGCATTTAATTATTTCACATTAAAAGGCCATCTCTTCAAGCTATTCAGTAACCTTTTATAATCTGTCAGAATCAGCATAAATGGTATTGGTAAAGAATCAGAGATCACTAATTTGCACGCTATGCCATGGTGATTTTAGTGCACTTTTCATGTCATCCATTCAAATGATATAACATTTTATAATGTGATGAAAATCCAAAAGTATTCATTCCAGTCATGAAAAGAGAGACTCGAAGATGTGTTTTTATTCAATGTGAATAACAAAGGAATGAACAGACGGGACTCAAAGATTAGCTGTTATTGAATGTGATCGTCAGATTAGGTTGTTTTTCCACTCACCTGACCATAACCAGAATGTTCTTCTGCTTGCAGGTATTCTGGGCATTGCAGCTGGTAACTGTTCTAGTCCCTGGAGCTGTATTTCATCTCTATGCTGCCTGTAAAAACATTGACCAGGAGGAAATCCTTCAGAGACCTATATACACTGTCTTCTACATAATCTCTGTCCTACTAAGAATTATTCTGGAAGTCATCGCTTTTTGGCTACAGAGCCATCTCTTTGGTTTCCAGGTTCACCCACTCTACATGTGTGATGCCAGTGCCCTAGAAAAGACGTTCAACGTCACCAAATGCATGGTGCCGGAACACTTTGAAAAGACCATATTTTTAAGTGCAATGTACACTTTCACTGTGATCACGTTGCTGCTGTGTGTTGCTGAGATATTTGAGATACTCTGTAGGAGATTAGGTTATTTGACCAATCAATGACCTGTGTGTTATTTACTACAGAGTTATAGGTCATATTTCAAATTTCTGTTTGTCTTATCCAGGTCTGACATGCACACAAAGGCCAAAAACTACATACCTCTGCTTTTTTTGTTGGGAGTTGACAAGCAAAGACACTTCTTTCCATAATCCCATTGTTAAAATCAAGTAACACAGATTTAAACAAACTTTTGTCAATAGGCTAAGGATATAGTTGTATCGTATGCAGCTTTCAATCATTGGCCCAAGTAAGAAAGAAACCTGTTATGAGAAATTCTAGTATTTTCCACATCCATACTTGTACCCAGTGAAAAGTATTTTAGCATTGTTGCAGTCTTCTTAGGGGCCTATCGACATATAATGTTGTCTAATTGTCCAGTTTAACATATGGCCAATGTCATGTCATCAAGGGTAACATCCTAATACCCTACGACACAAGCTAAAAATGGGTTCATTTTAAGGCATTGGACTAGGCCTACAGATGAAAAAAGGCTGGCAAAAATGTCTCCTAATGAAGCTTAGATTTGATTTCAATATTTTGCCTTTATTATTTTCAGGTCATAATAAATTATTAAAGGGATACTTTGGGATTTTGGCAATGTACTTCCCCAGAGTCAGATGAACTTGTGGATACCATTTTTATGTCTCTGTGTCCAGTATGAAGGAAGTTAGGGGTAGTTTTGCTAGCCATTGCTAACTA